GGATGTCCAGCACATGCGTTGTTGCAAAACCCCAAGAAATTAGAACGTCGTTCAAAATTATATCTATTCGTAGGATACCTCAAAGAGACGAAAGGTGGTTTGTTTTATGACCTTTAAGAAAATAAAGTGTTTGTATCAACAATTGCTACATTCTTAGAGGAAGACCACGTAAGAAATCATCAACCTCGTAGCAAACTAGTATTAAGTGAGTTTTCTAAAGAAGCTACTGATAAAACAACAAGAGTTGTTGATCAAGCTGGTCCTTCAACAAGAGTTGTTGATGAAGCTGACACTTCTAGTCAATCACATCCTTCTCAAGAGTTGAGAATGCCTTGACGTAGTGGGAGGGTTATAACTCAACCCGATCGTTACTTGGGTTTGGCAGAAACCCAAGTCATCATACCTGATGATGGCATTGAGGATCCATTGACCTATAAACAGGCAATGAATGATAAAGATAGAGATCAGTGGATTAAAGCCATGAATCTTAAAATGGAGTCAATGTACTTCAATTCAGTTTTGGAACTTGCAGATCAACCAGATGGGGTAAAACCTATTGGTTGGAAATGGATCTATAAGAGGAAACGAGACCAAACCGGTAAGGTACAGACCTTTAAAGCTCAACTAGTAGCAAAGGGTTATACCCAAAGAGAAGGGGTGGACTATGAAGAAACCTTCTCTCCTGTTGCTATGCTTAAATCGATTAGAATACTCTTGTCTATTGCCACATTTTATGATTATGAAATTTGACAAATAGATGTTAAGACAGCCTTTCTAAACGAAAATCTTGAAGAGAATATCTATATGGCTCAACTAGAGGGGTTCATTGAACAGGATCACGAGCAAAGGGTTTGCAAGCTTAAAAGATCCATTTATGGGGTGAAGCAAGCATCTCGATCCTGGAATATAAAGTTTGATACTGCGATCAAATTTTATGGTTTTAAACAGAATGTTGACGAACCTTGTGTTTATAAAAGGATAGTCAACTCTACAGTAGCTTTCCTGGTGTTGTACGTTGACAATATCTTACTCGTTGGAAATGATGTGGGATTTCTATCTGACATTAAGCATTGGCTAGCGACACAATTCCAAATGAAAGATTTGGGAGAGGCTCAGTTTGTCCTTGGAATCCAAATTGTTCGGAATCGCAAGAACAAATCACTAGCATTGTCTCAGGCATCGTACATCGACAAAATATTGATTCGATATAAGATACAGGACTTCAAGAAAGAATTATTACCTTTCAGGCATGAAGTTCATTTGTTGAAGGAACAAAGTCCTAAGAAACCTCAAGAAGTTGAGGATATGAGACACATTCCCTATGCATCAGCGGTCGATAGTCTGATGTATGCCATGCTGTGTACCCGACCCGACGTATGCTATGCTGTGGGAATTGTCAGCAGATATCAATCCAATCCGGGACGTGCTCATTGGACTGTCGTTAAGAATATCCTCAAGTATCTTAGGAGAACGAGGGACTATATGCCAATGTACGGTGCTAAGGATTTGATCCTTAGCACCGTACACTGACTCAGATTTTTAGACCGATGAAAATTCGAGGAAATCGACATCAGGATCTGTCTTCACTATGAACGAAGGAGCAATAATATGGAGAAGCATACAACAAGGTTGCATTGCTGATTCCACCATGGAGGCTGAGTATGTTGCTGCTTTTGAAGCAGCAAAAGAATTTGTATGGCTTAGGAAGTTCTTAATTGATTTGGAATTCGTTATAGATATGCTTCTTCTCGTCACTCTTTATTGTGATAACAGTGGAGCAGTTGCAAATTCAAAAGAACCAAGAAGCCATAAGGGAGGAAAACATATTGAGTGCAAATATCATCTTATAAGGGAGATTGTGCAACGAGGAGATGTGATCGTCACACAAATAGCTTCAGAGAACAACATTGCTGATTCATTTACAAAACCCCTCACGGCTAAAGTGTTTGAATGGCACCTAGTGAGTCTAGGACTACGAGTTATGTAATCTAGGGCAAGTGGGAGAAAATGCATGAGTATGTGATGACCTAGTTTATTGTATTTATGTCTTTCTCTCTACTCAATGTTATAAAACCCCACTAGAGTTTTAGTCCAAGTGGGAGTTTGTTGGGTTTTATGTCCTAAAACTCATGGTTTGTAAACAAAAACATATTCTATTTTCAACAAAGTTATTATTGTGGTTTATTCAGTAAAGATTGTTATTGAATAAAGTGAACTTTATGATCATTAATCTAAATCCAATAAACTAAGAACACTCTGGCTATAGTATGATTACGTGAACTATATGTAGAGACATAAGAGTTGATCAAGTTCAAGTATATAGTCAAAATGATCTATAGTATAAGGATAAGGCTGAGTACCTTATTCTGGGGACACTATGGATGCGGCTCACTTTTGTATATGATATAAACAATGTGATCACTTAAATTGTACATGTGGAGACATGTGAGTGGGGGCGTCCTATGCAATGAGTATTGCATAAGATCGGACCATGAGAAAAATCACTCTCACTTTATAATGTCGTTTACTGTTGAGACTGATTTTCTTTTCATTTGTTGACCTAGGTAACTCGATCTTAATCCTGAGCTAACCATGAACTCCTGTTTATTCGAAATTATCCTTAGATTTGCATGGGTGAGAGTGGCTCAAGTTCGCCGACTCAATAGGCCTCCCATTTCAGGGGTAAGACTGGTTAAATGACTTGGGACGTGGGGTGCAAGATGGAATTCACTCCTACCCACTTTTAGGGATAGAAGAGAGGTAGTTCCCTTAAGTACTGACTCCAGGTCTTGAACAAGGGGCCCCACCCTCTCATTGGCCTGAGAGGGATCCGGTTTACTGGTTGGACCACAAACCAATTGTTCATTAGAGGATCAATGAGACATAAGAAACAAGAAGTAACTTTAGGGGTAAAACGGTAAATTAGCCCAGCTCTAGTTACGAACAACATGTGAAGGATCGACTTACTAATCATGGTTATATCAAATGGACAGAAATATATCTATAGTGAGGGGAGTGCAACTACTAGGCTATAGTGGAATGTCTTAGTAGTTAACGAATGTTGGTTAACAAGGTTAATGAGTTTAACCGGTTAATCTTGGATCATTGGAGCCCATGATCTATAGGTCCATTAGGTCCCTCTGCTAGCTCATATCGGACTAAACCATAGAACAGTGTGACGAGTGAGTTCGAAGTGTTCGAATTCAAATTAGGGAGAATGCGCTACATATATATGATATATTTAACCGCATTTTTGTTTTATTTACGAATTAAACAAAAAGAGAGAATCAGAGATATTTAAATAAGATTTAAATATCTTAATCAAATATGTGTCGGAATTAATTGGGATTGATATTTGAATTAATATTAAATATTAATTAAATAGTTTAATTAATCATTTAATATTACTTTAATTTGTAATTAATAATTCAAATTGATTGTTGAATCAAAATGAAGAAAGTCAAAATGTTGACTTCATTTAATTGAAAAATCCATGTTAGTGGAATTTTGAGGTGTCAAAATTTGGTTTAACCAAACTTGCATGCTTGCCAAATAAACCCCACAAATTTGAGTGGAATTTTAAGTGTCAAAATTTGGTTAACTCAAGCATGCATGCTTGCCACATAATCCCAAACATTTGAGTGGAATTTTGAGTGTCAAAATTTGGTGATCTCAAATTTGCATGAACATGCAAACATGACTCTATAAATAGAGTGATCATAATACATGAAACTTCTTCTTGTTGGTGAAAAACCTTGAGAAAAACCTCTCACAAACACTCTCTTCATATATACAAAATCCCTCCCAAGTTTAGTCACTCTCCAGATTCCACAATCCCGTTCTAAGACCGAAGGATAGTGGAGAAGACACTAGTGGTGGTTCGAAACCGGTTCGTGAGGAAAAAGAAATTTGAACTACAAAAGGTTAGTATTCAAACTCATTAAGTTTTAATACTTATGAACATTCTAGTTATTTCTATAATTGATGTTCTAAAAGTGCCTAACCCGCGCATGGCCCGTCACCCGCGAATGGCCCGTCACACGCATACGGCCCGAGACCCGCGAGCGATCCGATAACTCGCACCTCGACCCGAGACCCCTGCACACGCGTCGCTCTCTAATTGAACGTGAATGTATGCCATGTATGCTGCTTAGTTTGATGTGATATGTTATGCATGTGACGATATGTGGTTCGTGAATGATTATGGCATGATTGTATGGAATATGTGAATGTAAACAGCATGAATTGTCTGGAATCATAACCCCGATAGGAATATGTATGAAATGTGAATTGAAAATGAGAATGACATGAAGTATGGAACGTGACAGGGGGTTATGATCATTAATGATAAACGTAGAAGTAGGAGGGACCTCATGCATTATGTGTGTTCATGCATCTAGGGGGATACCCTTATCCCATAACGATCGTTGTCCTGCCATTGGATGTACGCATCCTTACCCTTGTGATGGGATAGGGGTATCCCCCAAATGCATGAACACAACCATCAAATTTTTAGGTTGGGTTAGATTCTCGTGTTTATTTGTTAAAATTTAATTCATAAAGAAAACTATTTATTTATTTTCAAATATTTAATTAAGTTTTACAACTTAGTTTCAATATATATTTCTTAAAATAACGGTTAAAAATAATTAGGAGGGTTTAAGAATAAACAATAAAAAAATAATTACAAATTAAATATATATATTGAATTAAATTTTAAAACGGTTGAGTTCCAAATTTGTAGAGAGATCGGGTGAAAGAAACAAATATGAGATGAGTGTAAACAGTTTTTTTTTTTTTCTTTTCTAAAAATTATTAAATGATTTCTTTAAAAAAATAAAAAATTAAATGATTAAGAAATGCCTAATCAATATGACAATGCATAGTTGAATGGAAGAACCAAGAAGGAATAAGGAATCAGGAAGCTTTGAACCTGATTGCATCAATTTACGCAACTAACGAAGCTTGTGATTCTATCAATTTGAACTTGCGAGTTGAGATAAAAATTATAAAATGGAAGAAGGAAGCTTTGATTAGTAAACATGTTGTGCAATTCAGTAGAATTGGAGTCGCTTATTACATTCAGATAGCAACAACTGTGGTGAATTACAAACCCATTAAAGCATGGACTCAGCACATTGCTTCGTACAAGTGCATTTATCACCCGAGCAAAATCCGTCATCCCACTTCTCAAAAGAAATGCAAAGTTCAGCACATGTTGCTGCAATGCACGGTCCTATAAATGCATCGCTGTGCTTATAGCATGTCCGCCCCTCTGTCTGCACCACCATCCATCCTGCAATAGTAACACAAACTTATTCATACAAACAAAAACCTTCTTTTTAATACTATCTGTCAATCTAAATCAACATGGAGAAGGAGGAAGGATCAAGTACCAGAAGTAAGGGCTAGGAAGATGAACACCACAATTTTGAGATTTCTCAAGCTTTGTCCCGCCATTCTTTTCTTCTCTTATTCCTTGCTACAATGGAATGTTTGTTTCTTCTCTTATTCCTTGCTACAATGAAATGTTTGGATATCAGTTCCCCATTTTATATCTGTGAAATGCCTCATCTTTGTAACGTCTTCTTGATTTCCTTGCGAGAATAATCACGTTTTGTAACGTCTATACTGGCCGTTCTTGATTTAAAAGGAAGTTGTTTTATTTTATTCTTGTCTAGTCATGCGGTTAACATTGGTCGATGGACGTAAATTATACTATTGTTAAAAGTAACCTATTTCTTAAATACAAATTTAAAGCATGAGCATAACCTTCTTACTATTAATTATCTTTCATAATATGTATAAAAGGTAGGAATTTAGGTGTACTATTGTTATACCTCTTTTCATATGCGAGAAATTTAAGATGATAAACGCAACGATTAGCATGTAGTATAGCCCGGTTTATAAAATCTTGAACTGGAAAGCTTAAGTTTTATACTGTTTGATTATGGTTTTTGTGATGGTTAAAGATTACCGTTTAATGGGTGGTGTGAAATTCAGTTGTTGATATATTCCGTGCATTGAAATGATAAAGATTGCCGATATCAAAAATAGTTTCGAGGATGTGGATTTAGAACCTCGTCTGTTTCCTTGTCGTATTAATTTATAATAAACTTCTTTCCACATTTTTATTTTTTAATATTTTAGTCTCAATTATACAAATATCAAAATATTTTAATTAGTTTTTTATTATGTCAATTATTTTTTAACTGTATTCGAAAAAATTTGATGACATGAAAAATCTAACATTTGTATGTTTGGATTGGATAATAAAATTATTCAAATTGGGTTGAGTTGAAATAAATCGTAAATTGAATTGATTTATGAATATTAGTCCAACTAAATCCATCTAAATTTAATTTAGTTTTAAAATATAAAAATATACTTATTTTATTTTTGTTTAATTTCATACCATCTAAATACCTATTCTCAAGGCTTCATGTGTTCCAAGCAGCATAGTCTGAATACCTATGCTAAAGGCTTCATGCATTCCAAGTAGTATAGTCTAAGTCATGAGAATGTTGAACCGTGGGAGGTCTTAAGAGGTTCTTGATTCTTGGCTAAGGTAACTTACTCGCTTCTTGTTCCTTCGTGGCCCTAGACTACTCTTCATGGTAGACCATAAAGGTCACTAGCTCGGTGCATACTTAAATATGTCATCCTGCAAATCTTTTTGGTACCCATAACTTCTCTTCTAGGTGAGGGAAACTTGAGGCCAAACATGACATCCTGCAAAGGAAACATGGTGCAGGTCATCCCACCTAGAAGAGGAATTCTTGGGCCTTAGAAAGCACCGCTTGATGCGAGGTCATAGGTCACTTTGGGCATGGTTAGAGTATTACCTAGCATTCTTGTGTTTTTTAGTTTGGGGACCTTGGTCCCTCGTCCTTGAGTGGTACCTAACATTCTTCTTACTTGGGTAGTTGTAAAGCTTGTGTGGTGTTGTTCTTGGTCCTCAATCTTGTAAGTTTCTAAGGTTCATAATTTCTTGGGGCATAAGTTGTAACTTTCATTTGTAATCATATGAACCCATCTTACCGTAAGTTGTTCTAGAAGGTCATAGATTCTTAGGGAGTTCTTTCTACCCATATCCTAACCATATTCTTTTATCAATCTCTCATATCCATAGCACTTTGAGGCATAACCTAACCTTAATGTTTCGTGAATACATCTTACTTCTATCGTTACATTACATTTAGTGCATCCTTCTCGTATCATATATCAAACATATCATTAAACACATCACACCATAAATATTATCATACAATTCACATATTATAGCATAACATAAACATAATATAAGCATATTGATTCACAGATAATTCACACATATTAGTATATATGACACGTGCAGAACCACAGGCACGTGTGAACATCAAATATAACCATGTCGATAGTAAGGCCGCTTACCTGGTTAACTTAAGTTGTTGTCACGAATATATCCTTAATGAAAGTTCGATTATGTCCCTTGAAATCCGTAAACCTATTTGAGCCCATGACATCAATTTCAAGTTTGAATACTATAAAATTATTACTTGGGTCTACTCTTATATTTACTTTTTTCTGTATTTAGTTTATGCTTTTTTATTTAGTTTATGTTTTAATTACAGAATCTTCCTTTTTTTTTAATGGGTATTTACTCTGTTGCCTTCTAATTTTGTTCTCATGTATTCCAAATTTATAGTGGATCCCTATTTCCAAATCTTTCCTTATCTTGGTGTTTCCTTTTGTTCACAAATTTTCTTGGTCATTTTATTTTTAATCTATTCATTTGCTACGGATATAAATTTAATCTAATATTACTAATATAACGTGATTTACTAGAATTCGTATAAATGACTAACATTTAGTTTCTAACTCAAAACTAAACGATTATAATAATTTAATGAAAATCTAACTATAATTGGCTATGATTTCTTAAAAAAAACTAAAAAGAATAGGATAAAAGAAAATGAAGATTTAATATATACCTTATTGTTCAAATCTATCTTCACTTAAATCTCCCATGAATCTCAACTCCATAAAGGCCATTTTCATTTTTTTTATAATTATTTTTATTTCTTTATTTCTTTATTTATTTCATTATTTATGATTTTTTTTTTTGGGCTATTAGAGCAGAGTTCATCTAGTCACTTATTTTAACGTTCCCTAATTCCGGAGTATTTTAATCGATTTAGGGCCTTAACTCATGGTTCTTTGAGCTTTTCTTTCATATATCCGAAATTCATACTTGTTTTAGGGTTCATATGGAAATCCAAGCGATTCCTACAAGTATTTCTTAACGAAAAAGTGCAAGGTGGCTATTTACCGCGTTGTCGACGTTCGGGACCTCTGTTCATGATCTTCCGATACCTGAATTACCTTCAATTTTCTTCCACAGACTTCTTATTGTGTCTAGTTTCTGGAACCATAAAGATTTTTCTGAGAACCATTCTAGAAGAGGGTTAAATTTTAGAAAAATCGAGGGGTCAAGTTTTTGGTTGACATGGCCGGTTCAATTGAACCGGCCACGTCATCGTCTTCTTCCTCCCGATGGGAAGAAGACGTGCGTAATCTTTCGCACCGCCGTTTGAAACTCGCCCTCCCCAGCTCCGATCACGTCGTTTCTCCCCTCGAGTTCTTCATGAAACTTAAAGAGGGTATTACAAGGAAGAGCTATGGATTGATTTCATACCTTTTCGTGGATCGTAGCCTTAGATATTCGCTTCCAAAGTTCGTCCAAAATATAATTTCTCGCTGGAGTAAAAACAAAGGATTTCTTATTGGGTAGCCGATTCTAAGGGTTTTCAAGGCTCGATTTCTTCATGGAACTTCCTTATTCTTTCCTCAAGCTTAAGAAATTGGTTTCGAGGAACAACTTTGAGTGTGGGACCTTAATTTGAGAAATCACTCTCGGTCTGCAAGTTACATGACACCTCCGATTTTCAATCTCTTAGGTATCTTGTTCTTAGACGTTTCAGCTCTTGATTCCTTCATCAAAGTTAATCATTTTTTTCCTTTTAAGCTAAAGGAATCCTTTATTTGAAGGAAAAGAGGTCATAGATAGGAATTCGACACTTACCCACAATTTGAACACGAAACGAATTTTCTTCAATTGGAATCGTTTCTGAGGTTATTTCTCTTCGTGGTCTTCAATGAAAACATTCCTTGAAGGTACAGAAACTTATTGAGATTGTTCTTGCTCAACGAATTTTGTGTATCCTCTGATTTGAATTTTTAGTTTTCCTTGAAGCTCTTTAATGGCGGATTGGATTGGGGGAATGGTTTCTAGGCACTTTCCGAACCCTATTCCTTCATAGCACTTGTGGGTAATATTGTTTAGAAACTAGAGGAACAAGTTTGTAGAAGTTAAGTTGTTAGATTATATGGATTTCTATGTAACAGTCTAGATCTACTGCTAGCAGATTTTGTCGTCTTTGGGCTTTTCCTTTCGGGCTTCCCCTCAAGACTTTAAAACGCGTCTGCTAGGGAAAGGTTTCCACACCCTTATAAATGGTGTTTTTTTCTCCTCCCCAGCCAATGTGAGACATCAGATTCTTTTTCTTTTGTATTGGAATGAGATCCTCGTTTCATGTCCATCTTTTGCGAAGTTTTAAGTTTTAAGGTGTACTAAAGTTTAGCACAACCTTTTACTCATAGATGGATGACCAAACAAAATGTTTGAACAAGATCTTAGAAGATATGCAAAGCGTTTGTATGTTGGATTTTCTTGGTAGTTGGACCTCCAACTTGCCGTTCATGGAATGCTCATATAATAATAGCTATCAGGCAATCATCGACATGGCAAAAAAGGTGCAGAATCTTTGCTTACTAAGATGAGGTAGTAAAACGCAAATTATTAAGCATTTTGTTAGTACAAGTTACGAGTAACGCTATCCAAAAGATTAGAAGAATGATATAAACAACACAAAGTAGATAAAAGAAGAGGTGTTTTGAGGTTTGGTAGAAAGAGTAGCTCATTTCATGTCAAACCATTTGAAATCTAAGAGCAAGTTGG